GTCTGATTTCTTTTTAAAAAATGCGTTTCCAAAGTGCATAAACTTTTGGGATTGACTGTATAGCCAATACATCCTTAAATTAGTAATTCGATTTATTTTATGGATTTGTATCGCAGTGATCCAGTTTTGGAAATACAACTTTATATATGTTTTTTATTCGATTCTTTCATTCTCGTTACAGTGAAATGATGATAGGTGCATTGATTTCGATCATACACGTGTAGTATTTTTCTCTTCGCGCGTGGCTCGATAAGGTATCTGAGATCTATCAGTGCCGATCGGCACGGGACTAGTAAGTAAGTACTAACGGGACGGAAAGTTTGAGAAAGAAATATGATAGTATTCGATACGCGTCGTTATCTGTCTACTGTTTCGGCATCCCGTTTCAATCGCGAGTCTTCAGTAGCGAGCCAGTGTAAAATCTGTACCGCCGATTCGAATCACGTTGTTTAGCCCATTTACTTAATAGGTCGAGCGTTTAGTTTCATTGATGTCAGTTAAAGGGTAATTGATCGTTATACTTATTGACGTACATACAACCGTACGCTGGAGTATACAGATTGTTTTCATTCTCTATGCACAAGCCTATCAGAATATTTAATCTATTCAGAAATTTTAATTCAATAGCGCTGATCATCGATTCTCTCGTCCGTAGTAGATCTTGGTTTTCAGGAGCATAATATCTCTTTTTTATTTATTGAATACTTACAGAGATTGCTATTATCATGCGGAGAGTACTTGTTTTATACCTTTTCTTATCCCACGATAAACGTATAAAATTTTGGGTACTCGAGCACTCTTTTACGTATAGAATTATTCTTTATCACCGGATGTGTAAACGTGTATCACTCGCGCGATTCAAACGGCCACATATACGTACTCGTAAACAACGATTAAATCTGGAATTAATATTTATGAATGCAAAACCAACAAACGTGCTTATAGCTATAAATTCAAGGAGACAACGCGTGCTTGCGTTTCGATAGATATTTATTTCGATAAGATAAATGATTTAAACGGGTGATAGATACATTTTGCATACTTGCACTACACTTTGTCTTAGATTTATCCACAAATCGTATTGTCTTGTTAGGATTGTAAATGTGTACTTGCATTTTTATTCTATTTTAAGAACGGTACGAAATTTTCCGTCCGAACTACGGGAATTGAATCGTGACGTTTATGTAAATACACGTTTAGCACGTCATGTGGTGTGACTTGATCTTTTACTTTTACTCGATACAAATATAATACAAATTAGAAATGTGACACGTTGAATCGGTGGAACGAGACGTGACAGATCATCTTTAGATTAGTAATTAAATAAGAGCGAATAAAGAGTGTACAAGAATCTAATTATTACGATCAATTATCAGAATTAAAGGTGACTAAACGGGGTTCCAGTTCTTCGTTCACTCTCAATCTGAAGAAGTGTACTCTATCCTCTTGCAAGTGTAACGATGGATAGGGTAATGAAGGGCGAGAGAGAGAGTTATCGATTCTCTGGATGCTCGGCCCGGTTTACTCGCGTTACCTCTTACTCGTTTCGAATCAATCGAGCGATCCAACAAAAATGATTGCGAACAGCGAAAAAACGGAATTGAAATACCTTTGAGCAGCCGGCGTGAAAGAGCACGGACACCGAGAACCGATTGACACTTGTTAGCAAGCATTCTGTGTCCGTTCGCGACGCTGGCTGTCCGTCTGACTGAATAGGCCTTTCCCAGTGGCCGTCGTAAATTCGCACTTTTAACGCGGAACGTTCTCGCGAAGGGATGGATTCACACTAGCCCCTGGCCGCTGGCCCGGCCCGATATCAAACGCTCCGCGAGAATCCTTGCGCAGGAAATGCCTCCTCACCGTCTCACCGAGACTGTACGAACGTTCACGAGGCAAATCCTCCAGTTCGAACCGGGAACTTTTAACTGAACACGGCTCTGCCGCCGTGGCTGATACTCACAAATTTGCCAGCGTCGAAGATAAGTTAAATCGTCGCGCGGAGATAGTGTCACGTCGATAACTTGTTTTCGAAATAAGAAAAACTAGGTCGGAAGGTGGTTCGAGACTTTACGATGAATGCTAAAGTTCGCTTAAGCTTGTTGCAGATTTTACACGTTCTTCGTTCAGACGACACTCAAGACTGAGGGCTTTATATCTTTCGGAGATCACACAGCCCTGCGTATTTGTCGTCATGCGTCGTGTTTATCGTATACAGTAGATGGTTTTCTATCGGGCACGTTCCTCGGTCCGTCAATGAACTGTGTGTTTAACTAACGATAAAACGCTTCTCTTCCAGCCCTACGGGATGCTCTACGAACGAACCACGCAGACGCGTACGAACTCTCACGTTACATTCATTAACGCAATTTATCCAATTTATGCAAAGTTAATAATTATAATTTATTTCATTCTCGATACAAGGAGTCGTCCTTCAAATAAATTCTAAGTCTCGTCAATGGGATGAGTAAAAATCGATCTGATTGATTCTGTATTTTTTTATCGAGCACACGAACGTATTGATATGTGCGTAAGCATAAGGAAGAGAGACGACGCTCACGTAAACCCGAGAGATCGGCTTTCCCTCTGCATGGGCAAATGCGTCTGGTTGATTTTAAACTACCATTGTGTTCCGTGATACGAATAAAAATGGGCAATGTCAATTGTTGTACCGAGTAACGCACCGGGCGTACGTACATCGAAGAGTGAAAGTAGAAGTTTCCGTACTCGTCTCGATGTATGCATCTTATTTACGAAGCTCGTTACCAGATGAAGTTAATCCGGACGCGGCCAATTTGGTTTCGCTCGAGAAATTTTGTAACAATATTCGTATCGTTCGTGACACAGTTACCAATAACGTGCTGCTACTTACAGACGTACAGTTACAGAGTAGCCAGTAGTGATACGAGGTCGAGTCTTTACTTATGGTTTAAACTAATCAATTTATTCCTAGACGTGTAACGAACGATTTATGTACACGAAAGAAAGCTAACGTGAAATGTATGTAGATCGCGAGAGGGAAATATGACGGTGCAGTTTTGAACAAGACTCGGGAGTCGTTGTCCTTACGTATCTACATAAATCCGACGAGCCTTTTAATATCGACCCCTGCTGATTTTATATCTACGAGCTGTGTCTTTTCCTCTAACTGTACTTGGGATTACAGCATTGCTAAAAATCCGAAACGATCGGAATAACTCGTTTCGTTATACGAACACGTGCATGCATTTGTGTCTCCCATCGAAGGTGCATATACCGTTGACTAAAACCGATTCAAGGAGCCTAAGCTGAGCTTCTTTAATGTCTTTATTAAAAATGACACGCTTAAGAGAGTCGATGCCGGATGGAAACGAGATTCGGAATTTGTTTGATTGGACTGGCCTCGGTTCGACTAGGCCGTCACCCTAAAATGCTTGGAAACCACGCCTGTGATCCTTTGCTCTCGGATACCACCGGGTGGTGGTAGGTAGTCAAGTTTTTCGGCTGTGCCGAGCCACGCTGTGTCGCGCGAGTATTATTCGTTCGCGCCAACGCGTTCGAGCCGGTTCGTTCCTCCGCGTGACATCGCGACGACCGTTTAGGTACTCCTACCGAACGCGCGTTCGATTTTAAATTAACGCAGGTGACCATCGGGACCGTGGTCGGTCTCTGATTAAAAGAAGAAAACGAAAGGAGTTTCTCGTACCGCATCAGCGTCCGTTGTTCGTCGAGCTCGAAACTGAACGAACTCACGAAATCTTCCTGAATCTGATAAACCAGTGACCTAGACGCTTTTCACCTACTTACAATCGGTTTGGCCGTCACTATTCAGACCCCGATCACGCGCTCATCGGTAAGTATCCTGCCGTTCTTGCGGTACCATTGATTGCACGCTATTTTTACGATACACCGTTTGTCAATTGAAAATAAAAACGACAGCTAAATCATCGTTCGAATTAAATGACTCTGGACACACTGTTTTTAACGAGAGACCGATTGTGACGTCATATACGTGTTAAAGATTTGACGGAGCGTCGCCAGAATGATTAGAAACGTTTCCCGTGATTTAAGGTGTACATTTATAAGATTATTTTATTTCTATTTTTCTGCCGGCCTTGACTGAAGCCTTGGCCGAGGGGAACCGTCGTCATTCCTTTCTCCGGATTTTGCTATTTTACCACGTTTTCGATATTTTTCGTCGCTGAGAAATTCGACGCAATCCTAACTTCCTTCGCTATACGCATTCTCTTATATTAATCTCCTACGTGACTCGGGCTTCGAATTAAATTTTGCTAGAACTGCGCCGATCAGAGATGTCATTTTTTATGCGACTGACACGATTCTATGTGGTCGATTCATTATTCCTAGGCGTGCTTGCGATCTTTACGAAAGAATAGTCTATTGAGTAATTTGGAATTCTCGAAGGACTAGCGAGAGGACTCATTGTTCGTCCGGCATCTTTTATCCGTCGTCTATTGTCACCTGAGGCACCTGCTCCTCCGGAGAGTTACGTTCAATAAATATTCAGAGGTTCAATAAACGTACGAAAAAATGTAAGACTTCGCGTGCATGCGAAAATTTTGCAAACGAGCCTCCTACTTCGAGAGAGTTCATACTTCGTCTATACGAACTCCTTTGTATCGATTAAATTATGAGTGCGCAATTGATATTTTAAACGAACGTCGAAGTCGTGCTACGATCGATGGAATGAATGAACTAACAAAAGCTCAGCGGGCCACACTTGACATGATTCAGAACGCGTGCATCCAGATTTTAGTCATCAACCTTCGGCAATCTTTTCAATGCAGAAAGGCAATGTCCCCGTCCCCTGAAATCCTTTTAACTCCTTTTTCCCGTACGTTATCTCCTGTACGTGCCGCGTGAACGCGAGGATTACGACCAGGGATTTGTACCCTCAATTTATTTCGAATCGATGCAACCTTTGCCTCACCTTCGATGCGACCTCAAAATTATCTTTGTTCGTAAAAGGCATTTCACAGAAATGAAAAGTCAGACGCTTCGTTAGTTCCGTCTCCGGTTACGACTTCTTGGCTAATTGTGAAACTAATTTTATACATAGGGTGAAAATAGAATGGCGATTTTAAGTTAATTAATGTGATCGACGCAGACGTTATTCTTCCTAATTAGTCTCGTAATCTTGCGTCTCTTTCGTACGAGAACTTATTAGTATTACTTTCGCCCTCGGTAAATCTTCTGATCGAGCAGCGTTTTAAACATGCCGTGAATTCCATGTAACGTAACGGTATTAGCTTTAATTATGATAATATATGTAGGAATCATACATATTTCATCCCGATTAAGATTTAACGACATGCCAGTGTCTATTTTGGCATTTTTACAGAAACATTAAATTGCTTTCATTGTATGTACGAAAAAATTGTTGAACTATTCATGGATCTTGTTTTATCTATAATTACTGTTCTTTATTGTTTGTATCAAAAACGGTAAGATCGTCGAACTCGTTTTTTGCTAAGGTTTGAATTGACCACTGACGGTATCATACCTGGACCCATTCTGGCTGCCGCGGTTTTCTTGCCCCGTCACCCTTTTTATTTTTCGACAGTGTCGAGACACACTCATCGACCTGTTTTGTTCCGTAGAGGCAAACGACTTTTATTTGCCGGAACCTTCGTAATGAATTCTGAAACGTTGTACACACAAAATATTGATATCTTCCTTCTCAGTTTATATTTTACGCTTAATAAACTTGCCAGAATTCGTTAGAACCTGTTCGATCGCTTCCTGAGGAAGGAAAAATACGACGAAGGGGACACGCAGAGGCGCGTGTAATTCGAATGTTGGATATTATTAATCTCGTGCAACGTGATCCGACAAAAATTGCTCCTCAAGAACGATTGGAAAAGATGCCAGTTAACCTTGATCGTGTCGGAGAAAGGTGTCACAGTAATTTATCTCGAATTTCGTTGATAAAAAACTCAGCGACGATAAGTTAAATTACGCTGAAACACGTTTCACCCAAAGAACCCACCAATTCCCATTACGGAGTTCCATATGGTCGTTCGAGCTCAATTAATTGTAATACACATCACGACTATTAGGCTTATTCACTTTCGATTGAAAAGATTAAACTTGAAAAATGATATTCTATTGCTATCACGATCGTTTGCTTCCTGACAGTGTCGAACGTTTCGGTTTATTACTACGAATCGAATTACATGCGAAACAGAAGTACGTTTATGTTCAACATTTATGGCACTTGATTTACAGAAAATGTATGAGCGTATTAAACATGGGATGCACGTGTGCATTATGATTTCAGTGCTGCAATTAATTAGCGGTAAATCGGCACTCGCTCGCAAGTGTCCATCGGCTCCGATTTATGCTAATCCCGTGCAGTACTTCCGTTCGATGTTCGTCGTGTTGAATTATTTCTTAAAAATGTGCATCATTCGTGATAACGTTGAATTTTTCTATGTCTACGATATTTAACGCGAAGAGACATTGCGAAACTGAAACGTACGGAGAAAAGAGAATCGGGATACGATAAGTAACTTTGTTTTCGATTGTCGCAACTCGACCTGATTGGCACCTGTGCGAGCACCGTCCACTTTCTTGCGCAAGATTTTATTGCCGACCGGCCCAAGGTCAGCTATGTGCTCGTACCACGTTGAAAAAGTTCCCTAATCCATTTGCTCTTCTCATGCAAATCGACGCGGAACTTTACGATACAATTAGAACGATCAGAAGTTGAGGTCACCGCATGCAAATCGACCTTCGGATACCTTCGTATTCCGCTTACGGTTCGTCGACCCCTGCTTTCGGAAGCAGTTTCAAGGACTTCAGATTATTAATTTACTGTCGTCGTAAAAATCATATTTTTATTAGAAGACCTGTGCCGAATCGTTGGAAATCTTGTTTCAGATACCATGATCAGATATCGACGTCGCAACTTATTTCTCGTAGTGTCCTGTTGTTTGTTCCTGGTAAGTACGAGAAGGAGTTCGTCGATAAAAGACTTAAGTACTGCCTATCAACGAACGGAATTATCATCAGCCACTTTTTACCCTTGTTAAAGTTAATGTAACACCGTGTAAAACTCGAGATGAAGGATCGTCGTTACAAGGTTTCGCTTCGTGTAGAGCAATAATTGTGACTTATATTCGAGTTTCAATTTGATAAATGGCTGGTGATGTAATTTTACAAGGGTTACGCATGATCCTCGCCACCGGCAAGGAAAGCTCGCTTAAAGTAATCGGATATTCGTGTGTTACGTACTGCGGGATACCTGGAATCGTCAGCCACGACAGGAGCTGTCTGATACGCGATTTATTTTAACGCAGTAAATACACGTCTGACGAAATGTTTCTTTTCGAGACGAACGTGGTGATCATATTTTTTAACGAGTTCAAGGGATCGAGAATAGTTTGATGCATGGTAGCGAAACGTTGAATCGTGATCCGAATGATTTTCAGTAAATGCCGTTGCTCAGTAAACTTTTGAAACGAAACTAAAACACATCGCATTATGCTATTCGGTCAAATGTTCCTGAATGATCCAAAGGTCCCTAATTACGACCACGTCGAGGGCCATGGACGTCTGATGGACCCGCCAGCCCGCAACAGTATGTGGCGTTTCGGTTACCCGAACCCCGTAAACTACAATGACAACGAACTGTTCTGCGGCGGGTATGCAGGTTCGTTGTTTCATAATGGTCACCTTCCCCTGGAACAGTAAGTGAAACACCGGCCAACGATTCCATAGCCTGACGCACGCGTCGTTTGCTATGAATAAAGTGCAGTTTGAAAATATTGCGTAAACCCGTTCGAGAGAAACTTGATGAGAGCCCTGTATCCATTCGGATCGTGTCGGTGTTGTGCGTTAAAAACCGCGTTTATCGAAGGTTTCACGATGTCCCGAATTCTGTCCGTTTCTCGAATGAGATTACTGTAGCGTATCATTACTGTCCAGTGCAATGGGTGCAGAACAGAGGGGAGTGCGGGATCTGTGGCGACGCGTATCATTTGAAGGAGCCGAGACCACACGAAGCCGGTGGTGAGTACGCGAAGGGTACCATTGTCAGGCATTACACAGTTGGTCAGGTAATTTCTTCTCTCTCGCTCTCTATCGTTATTAACTCTGCCAAAAATGATCGAGCACAGTCTACGATCTTTATACCTGACAGTATCTGGGATAAGAATTTCTGGGTCTTGTTTGAAATTTAGGAGATCGACGTCGAGATCGAACTTACGGCGAATCATTTAGGTAGATTCGAATTGTACCTTTGTCCGAATAACAATCCGAGGAGCGAGGCTAGTCAAGAGTGCTTCGATAGGTATCGTACATCAAAAGTTGAACGCGTATTGCGTATTGCGATACAAAATTTACACGCGCGAAACGCATTGTTTCGCGACGAGCGCGTTAAAGAACAGATTGGTACACGCTGTTTTTCTTTGAGGTATCCGTTGTACGTAGCCGGAACACGGGACGTTCGATTCGAAATACCTGAGGATACCGAGAGGAAAGCCGTATTTCGGTACAAAGTGGCCTTGCCAGCTTACGTCACTTGCACCCAGTGTGTAATACAATGGACCTATTACACTGGTCTGTATTTTAATGAATGTAGTCTCGGTATACGCGGTCGATCATCTAATTAGGATCTTGAAATTCGTAATACGTCCTTCGGAAATATTGTTAGGTAACATGTGGGGTACTTGCGAGAATGGAACCGAGGCTAACGGATGCGGGAAACCGGAGACGTTCCGAAACTGCGCGGACGTCAGCATAATCACCAGCACCGCCGGTGTACCGCCCCTCTTCGTGCAACAAGACAACCCCTTCTTACTTTACTACAAAGACTATTCTTCGCCTAATAACATATTTCCACTTATCGTTAGGTGAATATCGTTTCTCGCTGGACATAAATTGTACCGATCATCGATCAGTACACGTATAAGGATACATCATCTTTTGTTTCAAAGGAAAATTACAGTTTGGACGGATTATATTGAATTTCAGGTCTCAAGTGTGCATGCCTACACCACTGTATCGTCGCATACCAGGGATGAACGACTGGTGCCAAACCAATTGCCTTCGCTATCCACCGAACTGTCCAGCAGCGATTTGCCATTGCCCGTAAGTCATCACGAATAATGATAATTAAATTTTATAGATTTACAGAAAAATTCCTATTCATGCGAAATGCACGTTGCAATACTTAAGCGACGAAATAAAATACGAATTGCGAAGCACGATTTTGTACTTGCACAGGGAGGTTTGCGACGCGATCGGTGAAATCGCTGGCAAGGATGGTGCCAGCGTTTATTGCATGGACAAGTGTCTCGTTTACCCACCGAACTGCCCGTCTCATCGCTGCCGTTGTTATTAAATACGACAGCTTAAAATCACTGTACACATCATACGTTACCTGGACCTCAACGATAATTCCGTGATTTCGTCTTCGTACCGATCGATCAAATTTTTTCACAACGCACGTGTAAACTTTCGGACAATTGCTTAGCGTCGTGGCTCATGAGAAATTGTATTCGACTCGATACCGAAGCGACGTAGAACTGATTTATTTCTAGCAATCTTCAATTTTAATAACGATCTTACAGTTTTGTGTAGAAACGTGATACCGTCCATTAACGAGTATTGAATTTTCTAAGAATTTAGCATTCCGTCAACTGCTCGCTGTTATCGCGTTTCTTTCTGCGATAAGTCGGCAAGCAGTGTAATTTGTTAAGTTAACGTCCATTGCGACGATAATAAAATTGTATTCATTAAAATACATGCATTTAATCGGTTCTTCCGAATAATTGAAATGAACCTTCAATCCTTAAAGTCATTGATCCACGAATGTGAAATTCCTCTTGATGAAATCAACAAGTCGTCTGACAAAGGGCAGGATTTAAGAAGCCGGAGAATTTAGTCTCACTATAATATATTTAGTGGTAGGACATCCTATTGACACCTTAAAATAGTACGCATGTATCACATTATACATATATATATATATATATATATATATATTATATATAATATATGTCTTTTATTTAACGAAACGATCAGTTTTTTTTTTACTTCGATTATTATTACACATCGCGACGATTTCGTTTCGTCCACCAATTCCCTCCGACGAACAAATCCACACGTGTCGTAAAACTCGTACGACTCTGTACGAGATCCGTATCCGATTTGAAAACTGACATAATTTTATACAATACATGTAATATTAATCACGACTAACGTGATTTAACGTGCCAGCTGTGAGTCTCCTTTTATCGTTATCGTTAATCATTATCATTATTATTCCCATTCGCTATACATTAATACTTTACAAAACTATATACACTAAAGCTTCTCTCATATGTTCTATGTATAATACGATCTCTCGTCTCTAATATAGTAACATTTTTTGTATGAGTTTTTTTTTATTTCTTTTACCGTAATATATGTATGGTGGTAATACAACGTGTGTTGAATATAGCATTAAAATAATCGAATCGAATCACTAGCGCAGTTACAGTTCATCTAATACAAAGGTCGTTCTTTTTTTATGTTTCTTTTCACTATTTTCGATTTACAATTTTCTCTTTAATTATACCACTTGAAGCAGCTATCGTTAACGTCCACAATTTAGAATGTAACGAGACCCTTAAGGATGTACTGGCTATATCGTCAATCCCAAAAATTTATGTACGTTAGAAAAACGCATTTCCTATAATTAAAAATAGTGCATTCTTCTTCTAATTTCGATATTTAATGAGTTAAGTATGATTATTTCGCATTTTATTGATGTTGACGAAATCCGACCATTCCACCGTCGAAACGGCGAACTTTTGGAAAAAAATTTTGTTTTTCCTCAATAACTCCTAAACCC